TACGCGGGCCTCTCACTGCTGCGGCCTCTCCCGCTGCGGAGCACAGGCTCCAGACACGCAGGCCCAGCGGCCACGGCCCACGGGCCCAGCCGCTCCGCAGCATGCGGGATCCTCCCAGACCGGGGCACGAACCCGCGTCCCCTGCATCGGCAGGCGGACTCCCAACAGCTGCACCACCAGGGAAGCCCCCAAAGCATTTTTTAGCCCGAGTGCTCTGTTCCCTTCACACCTTCAATCTGTTCCATCCTCACCTCTTGGGGAAGGGGGCCTTTAAGCACCATAAGGTAAGTTATGCTCTGAGTGGCAATCAATACCAGCAAGAAGGAGAGCGGGCAGGGCAGGGTCCTAGACCTGGAGAGGTGAGGCCGGGTGCAGCATACAGGGGGGAAGGAGGCCAGAGGGGAAGCGGCTCGGGGCTCCCTCTTGAGGAGGCCTCTGTACTGATGCCCTCTATCCACCCCCCCGCCCCCGGAAACAGGACCGTGGCTGTACTGTACCACAACTCTGGCAAGGTCCGGCTTATTGTGTCACTGAGCCGGTCCACACTACTTTCCCAGGTGTCATGGGCATAATAATAGGGTTAGAATCATAAAAGTAAATTCCCCAAGGCAGATCCTACCTCTGAAAGCAGGCAGCCCCTCTTCAAAACATGATCCCTAGACAGAGCCTTTCCCAGACAGCAACTCTTTCACGACTGTGTCCTGAGGTTCCTTCACATTTGATGACCAGAGTCCATTCCCACCCAGTTCACAGAACCATGTCCACAGATGGTGCTGAGTCCACACAAAGAGATGCTCTTGGGTCTTGAGTAATTGGGAATCTAGTCCCCCAAACCTTTCTCAAAATGTCAGATGAGGGAGCCTCCCTTCAAAATAAACAGACCTTGGGTGTTCTGGATAACAAAAAGCAAAGGGAGCAAGCTTCTTAGTGGAGCGTGCCTTCTAACTCCTTCTTAATTTGCCACAGATGGATTCTAGAGATTCTGCAGACCAGGGGTAAGGACCACTCTACCCAGTGTGAGAATTTCCTCCTTAGGGGAGCAGTCCTCACGGGGAGCCCTCAACTGTCAACTCTGCCACGCGACAGCCCTTGGAAGGTTTGCATGTCCCTTTCCTGGGCTAAGCATCTCCCATTCCTTCAACTATGCCCTGGCAAAGAGAATTTTATAAGATGAGGAACTTTAGATTGTTTAGTCCAACCCTCTCATTTTAGATATGAGAGAATGGAGAAGTAGAATGACTTGCCTAAGGTCTCATGGTGTGACCAAAACAGGTTTCTACACTTCTGGCTCCGCACGCCTTAAAATGCACCATACTCCTCAGCTGGCAGCTGCCGGGACCCGCTCACTGACAGCAGGACTTTACAAAGTACCTGACCTCCCTAAGCCTCAGTCTCTTCGCATATAAAATGCAGCAAATCATACACACCTCCTGGAGGGCTGGGGAGATTCAATGAGTATAGGAACACCCAGTCAGTGCAAGTGACCAGCAAATGGTACGTGCGTGATAACTGATTTTATTTATAATATACAGAATTTTTTTTTTTGGCATGGAGTTCTTCTTTCTGTCCTCATGTTCTCCCTCTTTGGCTTGCCAACTTCCAAGACTGAATTTTTTTAACTGATACT